TATATATATATATATCGTCAAATAGAACTGCCCGGTAAACCGTAGGCAGAGAGGGAGAAGAGGACAACAAACGAGGGGCTGTGACAAACTGTTTCGTCGGAGTTTCACCGACTCATCAGGTATATCTTTCTTCTCGCTTGACTCCAGCTATGGCACTGCCTGACCTCCCATAGCTATGTCCACTCTGCCCCCTCGATAGGGCACGCCTTCCCTGCCTCGAGCATGCAAGCAGCCGAAGGCAGAATGAATGAACAACGGCGGGCAGGCCCAGTTATTCCTGCCAGAGGCTCCTGCTGCCCGGCCTCTGTCCTTCCCCAGCTTGCTCCAAGGAAGATAGATCCGCGTGACCAAATTTTCCAACTCTCTGGCGAGCGAGCCGCACACGCGAACGCTTTTTCAACAGACCAAAGGTCGCCAGTGGTCTTCTTTTGACCGTCGACTTTCGAGAATTTAGGGAAAGCGCTACTTTTTCGCCTGCGGACTCATGGACTTTGACAAAGGAAGGAAGACCTTCTAGAGATGGAGAAGCGCGACTTTTTTGCGGCTTTTTGGGGGGTTCTTTTTAAAAAGGCCGACGGCCTTGAGGTCTGATTCATATTTCAACAGTTCCATGGGTGGTGTACCAACTGAGCTAGGTAGGCCGGTGACATTTGACCCACTGAATGTAGACTTGAATTAAAAGCGACGAACGTGGACGGTGTGTCGATACGGATTCTGTATATCAGCAGTTCGAGGGTGTATGAGCAGGAGCTATGCATATTCTTTATTCTTAGGCTGCACTCGCGCTACATTACATGCATCTGACCGCATTGACGCCCCCATCTGGATGCATGCATCTGACCGCAATTACGGACAATCTCGATGGATGCATCTGACCGCAATTACGTCCATACATCAGTAGTAAAGAAGTCCTAGCGTGAGTAGGCCGTTATTCTCATTAACAGAGGGGAAGGAGACGAAGGAAGAGGAAGAGGAAGAGTACGAGAACGAATGATAGGCGCACAAACCTCACATTGCTTCTTCATCATGGCGATGTATTTATCGAGTGCGGGAAGGGCAACCTTAGACGGCAGCAGCTTATTTCGGGCATACCCCGGCGAGACTTGAACAATATCACCGTGCCGGCCGATGCCATCAACATCCTGAGAGAGCAAACACACATGGGAAAAGGAACATATGCCAAGCTCGGTGTCAAACCCAGGAAGAAGAAGAGGAAGGAGGGAAAAAAAAACAAAAAAAAAACAAAAAAAAACAAAAAAAAAAAAACTACAAACCGAAAAAGTAACCTGACGAGTTTTCTTCAGACGTAATAACTTCTTAATTAATAAGGCAACTTGAGTTGGATAGTCGTGTGATGGGCACCGATCTTGCAATGACTTGTGTTTTTTTTTTTTTTTTCCAGCCGGGCTAAAAAAGAAGCTCATGGTTCGGACTCCGGAGCGAGCACTTGCTACGATCTGCAAAAATGAACCCTGCAACGAATACGTTCAGCAATGACTTGTGTTTTTTTTTTTTTTTT